CCTTCCTTCCTTCCTTCCTTCCTTCCTTCCTTCCTTCCTTCCTTCCTCCCTCCCTCCCTCCCTCCCTCCCTCCTTCCCTCTGTTCTAAAAGTTTCATTTGGGGTGCCTTACTGAGTATTTACTGAACAAGTGCAGATACAAGGAGACTACTGAACAATCCAGGTGAGGGGAAGTGGCACGTTTTCTGCATATATTTTCAGGTGCAGCCAGGTGATTTTGGTGAGAAATCAGATACTAGGGGTGAGGAAAACAAAAGTCAAGTTTTCTGGCCTAAGCCAGTGGGAAGATGGAGTAACCACTGATGAGATGTGGCAGACAGACTAAGGGGAGACTCTTGGGTGATAAAGAGATGCAGGTTAGTTAGTGTTAAGTTCCAGATACTAATCAGACACGTCAGTGTGCTTTCATATAGGGAAATTGTTTACAAGAGGCTATAGTCAAGCTTGATACACACATTTTGGTGTTGAGGGCCAGGTGATAGCATTTACAGTCAAGAGCCTGCATCAAACCTCAAGGGGAATGAGGGTACACTGAGAGGTATTCAACCCTAAGGGCCTACATTAACAGGTTGGAGGATGTGAAGAGATGCTAAACAAATAAATGCATACAATGTGAAAGGCAGGTCTGTAGTTGAATTCAGAGGACACATAGCTGGGCATGTTAAGTGACAAGAGGAGACCCAGGAACACAGTGGAATCAATTCAGCCAAGCTGACAAGAGATTAAGACCACTAGGGATGCTTGAAGAGCCACTGAAATGTGGCATTACTATTTTGGTGGAGTGGTGAGGGAAAACCCCTGATTACAGTGGATTCAAGGGGGGTGCAGGAAGTTGACAGGGACAATACCCTCAAGAAGCGAAGGAGTACAAGTGAGTGGACAGATGCAGGCAGTAGGTTTTAGAGAAGAGAATGACATCAAGACCTTATCTTTTTTGTTCTCTCTTTTTTAAAGATTTTATTTACTTATTTGAGAGAGTGAGTGAGAGAGAGAGCAAGAGCAGGGGTGGTGGGGGAAGGAGCCCAAGGAGAGGGAGAAGCAGACTCCCTGCTGAGCAGGGAGCCTGATGTGGGGCTCCATCTCAGGACACCAGGACCACGACCTGAGCTGAAGGCAGATGCCCAGTCAACAGAGCCACCCAAACACCCCATTTGTTCTATTTAAAGGGAGAGAAAACCAGCCTGTTTACATGCTGAGGAAATGATCTGGCAGATAGAGACCATCGTTAATTCAGGGGAGTAAGAAATTGTAATACCTGCAAAAACTTCCACTATGTAGGAGGGTGTAGGAACTAAAGCGTATGTGGAGGGATTTGCCTTAACCCAGGAATAGACCTTTAATTTGGAGTAACATGTAGGAAGCAGATGCAGAAGAACTGAAGGTGGGAGGTGGGAATTTAGTAGCCTGAGTGTCTGGATATTCCCATTAGAGGATTTCAGGTTTTTCTTCAGAACAATAGGACTTCCACTGAAGGTATAGATAGACAAGGAAATGTTGGAAGTTTTAAAAGGAATAAAAAAATGTATAAACTAGTCACTCAGGAGAATGGAAGAGTAAATAGATGAAAGAAAGGTGGAGTCATTGTTCCACAGCATTAAAGACACACTGGAGTTAATGGTTATGAATTTTAAAACAACAACATTATGTGTTGTCTCTCATCTCCTTTATTGCATGGAAGCTCATGTATGGCAGGTGGATGTTGCCTTTACCCAGGACTAGCTTTGACAATGAATGAAAGGAAAGTGAAGGGAAGGTGACATATTTAATGTATACAGGATACATGCTCAGTAGCAGAGCATGGTATCCAACTGGGCAAGAAAGGACACTGATGGAGGTGAAGTTTAGCTCAGCACAAAGCTTCACACACAAACACACACACACACACACACACACACACACACACACAGAGCAAGGTATCCGTAAATATTGTTTGAAAGGAGAATGAATAAACTTCCCCAATATAGCATAGGAGATATGCTATGCCTGACTCCTATATCAGACAAAACCCGTATGTGAGAAAAGAAAGTCATTGTACCCATATGTGCCTGCTTTAAAAAAAAAAAAAAAATTATTGTTATGCTTAGTTTCTGAGTTTGCTTTCCATCAGAGATTTTTTGTTTGTTTCATTTTGTTAGTTTTTTGTTTTGTTTTGTTTTTGCTCTTTTGTTTCTGTTTTTGTTTGTATCTTTGGATCTGAGACTTCTAAATTTCAGAGAACACAAGAAATGTAATTTGCTGAGGTTCTTTCCAAGACCTAACAACCACACTCAGCTTGTGATATCAAAATGTTTTCTTATAAAAACAAGATGAAATTGTTGCTATAAAATGCTTGTCCCTATAAAGTGTTGTACACAATGATCTAAACTATTTAAAAAAATTAGTCTCTGAACTGCTAAAGATCAATAGCTACAAATATTTGCATGACTTTTATATAGTGATTTTACAAAATATTTTCCCTTCCACAGGCAATGAAGCCCCCAAATGTGTCCAGTGTCACTGAGTTCCAGTTGCTAGGATTCCAGAACCTTCTTGAATGGCAGACATTACTCTTTGCCATCTTCCTGTTCATCTACTTTCTCACAGCCACAGGGAATGTTGTCATTATTGCAGTGGTGAGCCAGGACCAGCGACTGCACTCACCCATGTATGTATTTCTCAAACAATTCTCTTTCTGGAGATCTGGTATACATCCACCATTGTGCCCCTTCTCCTAGCCAACCTGTTCTCCCACGGCCAAGCCATCTCTTTCCCTGCCTGTATGGCACAGCTTTACTTCTTCGTGTTCTTTGGGGCTACTGAGTGCTTTCTTCTGGCCATGATGGCCTATGACCGATATCCGGCCATCTGCAGCCCACTCCACTACTCTTTCCTGATGAGTCCTGAGACCTGCACCAAGTTGGTGGCAATCTCTTGGTTAACAGGTGTTGGCACAGGATTTCTGCCCTCCCTAATGATCTCCAAGTTGGATTTCTGTGGTCCTAACCAGATCAATCACTTCTTCTGTGACCTCCCTCCCCTCATGCGGCTCTCATGTTCCAGTGTGTGTATCACCAGGATGGTCATCTTTATCCTGTCTATTGCAGTGCTGTGCATTTGCTTTCTTCTTACACTTGTGTCCTATGTTTTCATTATATCTACCATATTGAGAATTCCTTCAGCCTCTGGCCAGATGAAGACCTTTTCCACATGTGGCTCCCATTTGGCTGTTGTCACTATCTACTATGGGACCATGATCTCCATGTATGTTCACCCCAATGACCACCTGTCACCTGAAATCAACAAGATCATTTCTGTCTTCTACACTGTGGTCACCCCACTGCTGTACCCTGTTATCTATAGCTTGAGGAACCAAGAATTCAAAGAGGCTGTTAGAAAAGTCATGAGAAAAAAGTGTGGTATCTATGGAGTAAGAGTGAAGGGGAGTTTCTTTGTTAGGTAAGAAAAATTAGCACAAGAACACACAGTGGATTAATTTGGGGATTATGGGAGTGGCAAGTTTGGAGCCTTCAAACCAGAATGTCATCCTTGGCACCATGTTGAATTCCACAAGCCATAATGAAAGAGTTTCATCATGGCCCCTTGCCAACAACTGTTCAGAAGACAGCCTCTATCAAATCATTTTGGGGGCAATTTTATCCTTTGATACTTTCTTTCATCTTCTGATGAGAATCTAATTGTGTGATTTCAGGGCATGATGATTTCACACATTACTTTCAGATTTTACAGTAGGATTTCTCCTGAGTTCATAAAGCATACACCTAGAAAGTTATACATCATTTAAGTACTGGTAGGAACTGGCCTTATAGATTCAATTCCTGGTGCTATTGGTGCCTATTAAATGTCTGTGTAATGAATGAAGATATATAAATGATCATTGACCTAAATTTTCTCCTAGTGACAAGAACAAAGAAGGGTTTTTGAAGTGCCAAGGATTTATCTACAGGAATTTAGACTTTTAATGCTTTTTATTTAATGAAATTCTAGGAAAGGAAGGAAGAGAAGGAGGATGGCAGAGGTAGGGAGACATAAGTGGAGGGAGAGGGCAGGTGGAGAGGGAAAAAAGAGGAAGAAGGAAGGAAGGAAGGAAGGAAGGACGAGTGAGAAAGCAAGCAGAGAGACAGGGAAAAAAAAAGAAAGGAAAGGGAAGGGAAGGAAAACAGATGGGAGGGGAGGAAGGAGGGAAAAGAGGAGCCAAAATTTCTTTTATTCAGCCAATATTTAGAAGACCTCTGCTACTCCTGCCTACTATCTCATTCTCATTCATTAATTCTACAAATATTCTCAAGCCCTTTATATATGCCAGTCCTCTTGCTGCAGGGACACAATGGTAAAGAAATGGCCAAGGAAGATTTTGCCTGAATGGGGCCTCTAGTTTTGACAGAGGGAGAGATATATAATGACTTATCCAAGGAGTAATGGATTTATGTCTATTTGTGATATTTGCTGTGAAACAATAAAGTATAAGCTGGTGCACTTACATGGAACAATAAGGTCTGAATCAACATAGAGGGTTAGGAAAGCTTTCTATGTTTATGTTGTACTTTAATGTACACTTTACAGATGAGGAGAATAAGGATGGAAGTAGTATCCCAGGTAGAGAGCATGGCATGGATGTCATGAGAAGAGGCCTGGGGAACATGGTGATGGAGGAAGGAGATGAGTTTGGAGAGAGAGGTAAGAACTAGTTCCTGCAGGTCATTAAAAGCCCTATTAGGGTTTTTAGATTTTACACTAAGACAAATGATGGATTATCAAAGGGTATCAAATAGGAAATGACATGATATATTTTGCATTTGCAAATCTCACTGCTGTTTAGAGAAAAGAGTGAAAGAAAGCAAGAGTTGCTGGAATTGTAGCAGTAACCCACATGGGAGAGGAGCTTGGCTTGATTTTAGGTTTGATGATGTCTCACGGATGGTGAGGTTAGGAGTGAAAATTCTGGACTCATTCACTCATTCCCATGCAGTAGGGCCAGTTTGTAGTCTTTTCACAGTCCAGTAGTACATCTGTGGTGTTCCACATCAATCCCTGAACTTTAGGGATAAGTGCACTTTGACCCTTTGGCACATGTTTTTAGTTCTTTTTACCCTCCTTCTTCCAAACCTTGTTTCCTCTTCCTCCAGAATGTGACCTGTGAGGACTGTTGTTAGTCCTTATCAGATCCATCTGTTTCAAACGTTGAATAAAAGGAAAATGATACACTGGAATCTGAGATAGGACAGGAAGTGGGTGATATAGGAAGGAAAGTATCATTGCTCTGGGGTTTTGGATACAATATCAAGAAACAATCAAATATCTTTCATATGGTCATTACTGATCAATATATCAAGTATGACTTATATTTAACCAGACTTAAGTTATCTTACCAAAAGCTTCTTTCTAATTTTAAACTTGATAGGTAATTGGCTCTGCATAAGGGGAGAAAGATTATTGACCACATATGAGAGATTTCAAAAAATGATGTCAAATGCGCACTTGGATGCATAAATCTGGAGCTCAGAGTAGTAGCCAGGCTGAAAGTCAATTTTTTTTGGTGTTTTGTTTTGTTTTGTTTTTATTTTTGTTTTACATATAGATCCTATTTGAAAACAACAGAGCATGGAGGAATTACAAAACATAAATTTTCAGTAGAGAAGAGGAAGCTGAAGGGGAACTAAGAAGGAACAATCACATAAATGGAAGGGCATTTGTAAGGTGGTTATACAGACTCTTCCAGGGGAAGAGTGTTTTGGAAGGAAGAGGTGGTGAGCATGGATTAGCAGGCTTTTATCAATGTGCGCAGTCTAGAAGTGACAATTGTTCCTGGAAAGGAACAAAGCTTCTTTGGAATGGGAATGGCTTCCAATGGAAGCAATTATGTGTATGCAAATAATTACCCTGAGAAATGCAACTGTGAAAGAGTGAGATACAAGTGCCTATATTGGAAGGGTCATTGTGTTTTCAAAAGAGGTAAGATTTTAGCATCTGAGTAAGTTTGAACACTTCCAGTAAGAGTCCAATAGTGAGCAAAAATTTGAGGAATGGACATGGAGGTGATAACTGAGAGCCTGAGGTTGAAGAGGGAGGGATCTGAGACAAATGTGACTCAAATGAGCATTGAAAGGGAAAATCATTTATTTACTGTGAAAGGCAGAAGGGAGAGGATATTGCAATCTGATGGGTATTCAAATAAATAGGACTTGTCGACTTCCACATCTGTGGACTTATAGGGCTTATGTTTCTGAGATAAGGTAGCAACTCTCCTTTCCCATAGAAAATGCGGCTCTAGGGGCGCCTGGGTGGCTCAGTCGTTAAGTGTCTGCCTTCGGCTCAGGTCATGATCTCAGGGTCCTGGGATCGAGCCCCACGTCGGGCTCCCTGCTCCGTGGGAAGCATGCTTCTCCATCTCCCACTCCCCCTGCTTATGTTCCTGCTCTCACTATCTCTCTCTCTCTGTCAAATAAATAAATAAAATATAAAAAAGAAAAAGAAAATGCGGGTCTAAGTTTGAAGAAAGTGATAAAGTCATTCCAAACTCATTTGGTAAAATGGGATTGATAGATATTTAAAGACAGGTGGATTTGGGAACAAAAATGAGTGCCTAGATGAAGTAGGATATCACTGATTTGTTGTGATGTTGAGTTACCTGTCTTGTGCACTCTGCTTTAAGATCACTCAGCTGTTTGTGCTCAGGCCCATACAATAAAATAGTTCATTTTGGGTTGAGACTTAGCTCTGTGGATAGAGTCGGAAATAAAGGCAAAGACACAATGGATTTAAGAGTCACAGATTGTCAGGAAGATAAATCAATACAGGAGGGAAGTAAAGCAAACAATGACCAGAAGTCCAGAGTTTAAAAAATAAAAAGCGGGATTGTGTTATAGGATTTTGTTATTTGTTATAGGACTATCTGTGCTATGTGTATAGATAGGAAGTGACACATAGAAGTTTAGTGGCTTAAAGTAATAATTTAAGACAGGGTTTAGTTTTAGGAAATGACAAAGCCAAAAGTATGGCCATAAGAATAAGTGAGATAAATCAGGTCATGAAAAGAAAGATGGATTGGTCACATTGCTGAGGACAAGCACTCCAGTAAGGGAAAAAAAAAAAAAGTTATGGTACTGGTGTCTTTTGTAAATGAGAGGTAGTCAGTAATTTAGTAAATTGTCTCAATAAGGGGAGAGTGGGTTCACTACCTCTTTAGCATGAGCCTTAAAACATATTTTTTTTAAAGGAGTGGAAGAACAATATCCAAGGCAAATCATTTAAGAGCAGGGTGTTTATTATGTGCATAGACTGACCCTGAGATACAAGGAAAGGGAATGTTAAGCAGTTCCATTTAAGACAATTAGTGCTCAGTTTCCATTCAGGCAAGGAGGTGGGATAAGGTTCATGAAGAAGTGGCTGAACAAGAGACAGGAGTTCCAAAGGGAGGCTTAACTGTGACTGACCCAGGGCTGTCAGCTTTTTAAGATCTCTTGTGGGGTGAGCCTATCACTGTTCTCTCAAGGCACCACTCCGGCCTTGCGTGGAATATTTCAGAGGCTCCATCTTCAGTGGAAGTACATTTAACATGTTTTAAATTAAACACAATTTGATTCTCAGTTCCTTTTAAAAGGTCTCTAGACCTTTGTGTTGTGGCATTAAAAGGGCCACTGTTACCTGTGTTCTTGATTACTTACTTCTATTCTCGGTTGTTCAAGAACTATGATATACTCAAGGGTATTATATTTTTAAGGAATCATTTCAGAAATTTGTTATAGCATGGACTAAGAAAATTATATGGAACTTCTAATGAAGTCCATACCTACTACTACAAATAAATTTCTATAAGCACATATGTAACCAATGGAAACACATATAATTTCCCTGGTTGTTGTTTAATCATTTGGTTGATCTATTAACTGTATACAATAAAAAATAACATTATGATGTAAACATCAAATTTTGTTAAATATACCACTTTACCAACAATGTTATGACTGTGAAGAAAAGGGAAATTGACATTCTATCATTTCTATCTCTAACACAGAATGAAAAGTGACTTTAACCCCCAATGGCTCCAGCTAGATCCTGAACCATTTTTATGTGATCATGTGATCTAAAATGTTTTCTTGAAGATCAATTACCCCTAAATCTGTCATTTGAGAACAATGACTATGACATTATCCCTGGTTTTAACTTATGTCCTACTTTCAACAGGCAGCACACAAACAGACACAGATGAAGGGCCAGAGAGAAGAGCCAGGAGAGACTAGGTACTGGTAACCCTATACCAGCCCACAGTGTCCTTTTGATTGATGTATTTTCTTTTTTGTCCTTTTTTTTTTTTTAATTGACAGAGAGAGAGAGCACAGCAGGGGGAGCGGCAGCAGAGGGAGAGGGAGAAGCAGGCTTCCTGCTGAGCAGGGAGCCTGATGCAGGGCTCCATTCCAGGACCCCGGGGGTCATGACCTGAACTGAAGGCAGGCGCTCAATAACTGAGCCACCCAGGCACCCTGACTGACCTATTTTCTTTTTTTTAAAGATTTTATTTATTTATTTATTTACTTATTTACTTGAGAGAGAGAGAACGAGAGAGAGACAGCATGAGAGGGGAGAGGGTCAGAGGGAGAAGCAGGCTCCTTGCTAAGCTGGGAG